GAAGACAACTATTACCAACTGGTGTGATAGAGAAACGGGACATATATTAATTTGAATTCTGTTATGAAGTCTAAGCTCTCAACACCTTTACATTCTATGATTCACATTAATAGTGCTGTGTTAATAAACTTCCCTACTTCATATCTACATTAATTTATGACATTACCTTGTATAAAAAATCAGACTTAGACTCATAGAGATGTTCAGCATGTAAACAGACCCTTCATGCCTCCTCCATGCCAACCAGATATCTTAGATAAACCTAGTCCCATTTGCCAGCATTTGGCCTATATCCTTCTAAAATATTCCCATCATATACCCATCCAGATGTCTTTTAAATATTGTAATTGTATCAGCCTCCACCACTTCCTCTGACAGCTCATTCCATACACGCACCACCCTCTGCATGGAAAAATTTCCCCTTAGGTCCCTTTTAAATCTTTCCTCTCTCACCTTAAATTATGCTGTCTAGTTTTTGACTCCCACACCCTGGGGAAAAGACTTTGTATATTTACCCAATTCATGCCCCTCATGATTTTATAAACCTCGATAATGTCACCCCTCAGCCTTTGACACTCCAGGTAAAATAACCCCAGCCTATCCAGTTTGTCCCTATAGGTCAAACCCTCCAACCCTGGCAACATCCTTGTAAATCTTTTCCAAACCCTTTCAAGTTTCACTGCACCCTTCTTAGAGCAGAGTGACCAGAAATGCACACAGTATTCCAAAAGTGACCTAACCAATGTTCTGTACAGCCACAACATGATCTTACAACTCCTATACTCCATGCACTGACCAATAAAGGCAAGCATATCAAACACCACCTTCACTATCCTATCTACCTGTGGCTCCACTTTCAAGGAACTTTGAACCTGCACTCCAAGGTCTTTGTTACACAACACTCCCCAGGAACTTACCATTAAGTGTATAAGTCCTGCCCTGTTTTGTCTTTCCAAAATGCAGCACCTCACATTTATCTAAATCAAACTCCATCTGCCACTCCTTAGCTCATTAGACCATCTGATCAAGATTCTGTTGTACCCTGAGGTGACCTTCTTCACTATCCACCACACACCCAATTTTGGTGTCATCTTCAAACTCCTATGTTCATATCCAAATCATTTATATAAATGATGAAAAGCAGTGGACCCAGCACCGATCCTTGTGGCACACTGCTGGTTTGAGTCCTCCAGTCTGAAAATCAAACCTCCACCACCACTCTCTGTCTTCTACTTACGAGCCAGTTCTGTATCCAAATGGCTAGTTCTCCCTGTATTCCATGTGATCTAACCTTCCTAACTAGTCTACTATAAGGACCCTTGTTGAACACCTTACTGAAAGGTGAGAGGAGAAAGATTAAAAAAGGACCTGAGGGGCAACTTGTTCATATCCACCGCTCTGCCTTCATCAATCTCTTCGCTTCTTCTTCAAAAAACTCAATCAAGTTAGTGAGACATTACTTCGTATGCACAAAGCCATGTTGACTATCTCTAAATAGTCCTTGCCTTTTATCCAAACTTATTAACTACTTAAGCTGAAATACAGGAAAGTTTTCGCAGGGTTATACAGGAATTGAATGGTGAACCAGGTTTGACAGGCCACGTGGTTTACTCCAGCTCTTATTTCTTGTGGTCTTGTTAGCCAAATGTAATGACAATGTTCCAGATGGTAAACCAACTAGTAAATTTAGATCACATATGATTCAGGGTGAGTTTGCCAATTGGATATAAAATTGGCTTGATGGTAGAAGACAGAAGATGATGGTGGAGGGTTGCTTTTTTTGGACTGGAGGCCTGTGACCAGCGGTGTTGTGAGGGATTGGTGTTGAGCCCACTTTTGTTTGTTAGTTATAAAACCAATTTGGATAAGAATTTATGAGACATAGTTAGTAAGTGTGCGGGTAACACCGAGATTGGTGGTATAGTGGACAGTGAAGAATTTTATCTAAGATTACAAAGGGATCATGACTAATTGGGCCAATGGGCTGAGAAGTGGCAGATGGAATTTAATTTGGATAAATGCAAGGTATTGCATTTTAGAAGAATAGACAAGGGCATGACCTGTACAGTTGCTGGTAGGGCCTTGCATAGTGTTGTCAAAAAGAAAGACCTAGCAGTTCAAGTACATAGTTCTTTGAAATTTGTATCACTTTGGAAGGCATTTAGCAGGCTTGCCTTCATTGCTTAGACCATTGAGTATCGGAGTTTGGACATCATGCTGAGGTTATACAGGATGTTGGGGAAGCCACTTTTGGAGTACTACGTACAGTTCTGGTTGTCCTGCTTTATGAAGGATATTATTAAATTGGAGAGAGTTCAGAAAAGATATACCAAGCTGTTACCAGGATTGGAGGGTTTGAGTTATCACAATAAGCTGAATAGGCTGGGACTTTATCTGTGGAGCACGAAAGGGAGGGGTGATCTTATCGAGGTTTATAAAATTATGAGGGATATAGATAAGGTGAATAGCAAAGGTCTTTTTATCCTATGTTGGGGGAGTTCAAAACTAGGGGGCATATTTTTAAAGGTGAGAGGAGAAAGATTTAAAAAGGACCTGAGGGGCAACTTGTTCACACAGAGGCTGGTTTGTATGGGGAATGAAATGCCAGAGGAAATGGTAGATGCAGGTACCGTTACAACATTTAAAATTTGGATAGGTACATAATTAGGAAAGGTTTAGAGGGATATGGGCCAAATGCAGGGAAGTGGGATTAGTTTTGGAAAACTTTGCCGGCATGGACCAGTTGGACCGAAGGGTTTGTTTCCATGCCATATGACTTTATGACTCTAACAGACACGTCTCTGTTATACTTAAAAGTTTTAGTGGGGTTGGTCACTTCTTTATCTCCTTTTCCCTTGACCTCTCAATATGGCAATTATTATCTCTCAACAGCATTAATGCTCATCTGAATGCATTCATTTGCTCAAGACAGTCAAGTTGGGGGGGTCTTTGCTTCAGTAACAAAAAAATACAATTGAAACCAAGAATTGATAATGTGGTCAAATACAGGTATTTCTCCTATAATGCAATAGTTGCATTCTTGTGTGACCTTGTGCTGTAGAAAATCGCGCTATAGGGAAATCGCTATCGAAAATTGCTATACCTGTGCAGCAAAAAGTTTGCATTATCCAAACAGTGTCCACTATTCATCAATTGCATTACAGCCAATTTGCGTTAATGAAACACGCGTTAGAGCAGAAATACCTGTACAACAATACCTCTATGAACAAAAATCAATTGAGCTGACCATCATCTGCACTTATATTCTTTGAAAGTAAAATGACAGTCATGAACAGTGCTGTTTCAATTTGAGCACATTCGAAATGATGATTTCTTGCCCTCCCATCCAAAGACTCTAATTCTAGTGTGTTTTTCTTTGCTTCTTCCACCAGAATGACAGAAAATTGGTGAACCTATTGCAGTCGATATCTAATCAACCATAGAATAACTGAAAAAGCTCTATTTGAGCTATTTACAGGTCATCATGCTTTGTTCAATTTCAGTAAAGATATCAAGATATCAAGTAACTAGATTGCAGAAATTTGATTTGGGATATTTGCTGTCCTGAGTTGAGTTACAATGCACTGTAAATATAAAGCCTAAAATGGATCTGTCAGAGCAAACGTAGGATAAAATAACTTTGCACTGGATTTTATTATTAAACTTGCACCAAGTTTCCTACAAATTGACAAATCATAAATTGAATGTGTGCAGAGAGACAGATTTTAAAATATGCCTGTATTTACATCACAAGAGTTTGGTACATTGCCATTTAGAAATTGCTGAATAGAAATTATAGCACGTTGAATATAAATTAGCTACAAAGAAGCTGAGATTTGTTGGCTCTTATCCTCAACAATAAAATAGCCATGTAGTTTATTAGGAAGTCAGTGGTCTCTAAATTTCATACTACTGGGATGTCACAGAGTTATGTGACAATTGAGCAGTATGTGCTACAGTTAAATATATCCTTAGTCTGTACAATAACCTTGATACTCTCGAGACTGAACTCAATACCTAGTTACTTCATGACTGGCAGATGGAGGTTGTTGTATGTATTAGATGTTTAGCAGCAATTTACCAAGCTTTTTCATCAGTACCTCCAAGCCATATGATATCTACCACCAAGAAAAACAAAAGCAGCATCACATTGGAAAACCCTCAACATAATTTTCCATTCCAGACATCTTCTTGAAGTGCCTGTTATTTTTTCATTGTCACTTGGCTAACATTTCGAATTCTCTACCAATGATCTTCAGCACAAGGACTTCTGTACTTCTAAAGGAAAGCCCATCAACTTTCTGGGTGACGAGAGATAGGCAATAACTGAGGCCATTCCAGTACCATGCTCATTTGAGAACATGTTTTATTTTAACTGAATTATCATTATTACTGATAAGAAAGGCATGTTGCTGAAGCTTTTCATCTTGCATCACTAAGAAAAAAAAGCAAAAATGCCAAATTTCAAAGTTTCATGGATTGATGATAGCATCCTGTTAGTGGAAAATACTACTTGCAAAGCTCTGAATAGTAGCAGCAATAAGTGACTTGCTTTCCCAGGGCATAGTTATTAATGCTGAGTGCACTGATAACTATGTTAACACCATTTTGTGATACTAAGTCAAGCTCATTATGTGCTTCATTTATGCTTGCGAGGAATGTTATATATTCAAGTTAAAGAATATGTTCAAGCCTTGTATATTTTTGAAAACTCAGGAAATTGGGGAGCCTATTGATACCTGCTGCTTTCTCCACAGCAACGTCTCAATAAATCAGAGATAATTTGCCAATCAATTGATGCCTTTTTCTCCTGTAATATGAATTTCTGTGATCATTTGAAATTTGACATTATTGTGTTTATCCTGAAGAATAAAAAATGCAAAGCTTCCTTAATATGTCTCTTTTCAGCAATATTCAAATTTTGTGCTACCATCTGACTTTATGTACTATTCTTGTTCAGAGAAAATACATTAGTGGAATCTTGCTTGCGTAATACTTACAGTACAGAGGGTCTCAAATGTGTTAGGCATGACAAAGGATCCATCAAGGCCAAAAAGGAATATGGATGCATAAGAAAGCATTCCCCCAAGGATAATAAGGTTGTTCATGTAGGGACTGGACATCTTTATCAACCTGCAGATAGGAATAGACAATAAGCAAGGGTCATCATTTGGTTCTTCTCATAAGGAGTGATTTCTGTTACATAACTAGCAATTGTATAATGGCTTCAGAGATAGTAGGAACTGCAGATGCTGGAGAATCTGAGATAACAAGGTGTAGAGCTGGATGAACACAGCAGGCCAAGCAGCATCAGAGGAGCAGGAAGGCTGACGTTTTGGGCCTAGACCCTTC